AACTCCCACGCAGTATGGTAGGCTTCCTGGTACGTGGCCGGGGGTTTCCGGCAGAACTCCTTGTAAAGTTCCCCAGCACGCAAGCCGTTCAGGAGGAGGGACAACACCGTCTTGTCGTCCATCTCCTCAACCTTGTCTACCTCCTCCTTCCACCGGGTAAGGAACTGAGTGAGGTTCTCAGATTCCCTCTGCCCGGCTGTACTAAGATAGGTGAATTTCTTCCTCTTAGTACAGTTTTCCTGTAACTTGGCCTTAAATTTTGAGGCCAAGTCACTGAATGAATCAATACTTCCTGGGCGAAGTTTGTTGAACCATTCAGTAGCTCGATTCCGCAGGGTTTGGAAGAAAAGGAGGCACTTTTCTTTATCCGTACAACCATTCATAGTTGCACTTTGGTTGAAAGAATCCAGATGTATTTCTGGATCCTCTTTACCGGTAAACCTTGGGGCGTCTATCTTGACCTTTCGTGGGAAAGGTGTCAGATGGACCCTTGTAGTGAACGGGGACCCTGCGAGGGGTTTGTCCCGGTCATTCTTCTCTCCAACCTTCTTCTCCAGCCTCTCCAGCTTTGCCCTCATCTGTTGGACGCGATCATTGAGGGTGGTTAACCGGTTAGCCACCGGTACCCTGGGTTGGCTTTCTGCCTCTTCCTCCTGGCGAGAGGCCCTCGTCCTGGCTGGCTCTTACCGGTTTGACCGGGAGCGTTGGGTGCGGGCAGGCTCGGCCTCCCTCATCTCGCCTAACCGGGCGAAAGCGCTGACATGGGCAACGCTTTGCCCCAGCCTTAGCTTGGCTGATTTTCTCTGGCCCTCCTCCCTATCCCCCAGCCTTTCGAAGGCGGAGTTTCGGGAGGTGGCGGGTCGGATGGTTTTTCCCTTCTTCTTCTTGTGGGCCCTCGGAATGTCCCACTCGTCGTCTCCGCTTTCAACCGAGAGGCAGTGTCCATCCGGAGTGATTAACGGATTCGTACCTTGCGGGGGACGCGATGGCCCCGCGGCGTTAAGCGCACCAGTCAAGTTGATGGGGGCCACAGCGCTGACTAGCTGCGGCTGGAAAGGTGATGGTTGCGGCACTGGCGTTTGGAAGGGAGACACCGCCATTAGAGCTTGTAGGGGCATGGTTCCCGTGCCTGGAAGAGCGAACGGGAACATACCAGGGAGGAAAGGCATCCCCCCATTCTGTTGGCACATAGCCATGACCTGGCCAAAGCCCTGGATGGCCTGCAGGTTGGCTGGGTCATTCATGAACTGGGTCATGCTTGGTGGGAAAGTGACCCTCGGTCCAGCGGAAGGGACGGGAGCCGTGAATGGGCTGACCATGCTGGGTGTTGGAACCGAGCTTAGCCCCAATGGCAAAACCGGAGCAGAAACGGTCGGCAGGGTAACAGCCATGGGGATGCTGGTACCTTCAGCGGTGGCTTGCACCTGAGCAGAGGTAGCGTTGATTTGCTGGCTGGAAGACATTTTGAGTGGTGTTTTTGTGGGTAGGTTTGTATTTAGAAGAGAGGAAACCTTAACGGTCCCACGGGTGGCGCCAAAAATGATGGTGTAAATTACTTGACCGGTCAAACTATACTAGACCGGGTCTAGAATAGTTGGCTTGATTTCGTAAAGTAAAGAAAGTAAAAACATTCGGAACGACCGGTAGGACTTTAGGTGGAACACCTGTAGCCCGAATTATATTAAAACAAGGAATGCACGGTCACTTTTACAAGGGAGTTTAGAGAGAGTGAATTCGGATCCCTCTTTCTGAGGTTTACATGAGTATTTATACTAGGCTAAAGGGGGACAAGGCCACGTGCGCCCACGCGGGGGCACGCTGTTGATGTGCTGCGAGGTGACTGGTTCTGCACTGCCTTGTCATCTTGCGTGGGGGGCTGCGCCTTTGTCGCGTTCTGGTTTGGAAATATTCCTCCAGCATCTATGCAATTCCAACCACTACAGTCCAAGTCCTTTTGGATTCCTCCTGCCGACACTCCCCAATCTCTAAAAATTACACCGGTTGGTTCTTGTAGGTTGGCTTGGCCAACTTCGAAGGATGGATTTAGACCATAGGCGAGTTTGACCGGTATACTATCCGAAGTACACCGGTCAAAGTTTTGGGTCAACCCTCTGACGACTCATCACTTCCTTTCGAGCTCGACTTCTTTGACCGGTCAATTTTCTGGTTCGGACCTTTGACCGGTCATGGTTGAAATACACCCATCACACATTAAGAGAATTTGATGAGTCAAAGTGCTTAGATGAACAGTTCCAAAAGTCAAAAGTGGACGAATACTCCGGGACGGAGGGAGCTGAGTAATAACATATTGAACCACCGCTCACCCCATGTACTTCCATATTCATTCACCTCCATGTTAAAACCACCAAGATATGGCTCACCATTCAAGCAATCATCATCATCATCAATTCATCATGCCATACTATATATTTCTCGTTTGGAAAATGCTAGGGGTACACCAAAAGTGTACCCCAAACACCCCCACCCCCTCCATCACCACACAAAAAGGGCAAGAAAATTTCAAAAAAAATAAAAAATAAAAATAAAATAAAATGAATGGTTAAAAGGAGGGTGATGTACATTTGGAGTATCCCTTCTCGTTTTTTCTAAATAATTTGTACGAAGTATCCATTTTCGAATTTTTAAAATATTTTTCTTAGTCTCTGCCAATTCATGTTAAAATATACTCCGTATATACTCAAAGAAGTAGGGTGAAAGGCATCTTATTGCTATTATTGCTGCAATTCAATCATATAGCTGGACAGATAGTCACTACCAAAAAGGCAGGAACCATAAAATCACACTTTTGAATTACTAGTAGTACATACATACATCTATATATTCTCCTATTATAAAAAGATCAAAAGAAATAAAAATTAAAGTTCATCATGGCAGTGTCATGACTGCATGAGGCATGGGCCGCATGGCCTTAAAGTTACGGAGGAGTATCATTGTTTATTTGTTTTTTTATAATCCTTTACTCTAAAAAATAACCATTTCTTATTTTTTTAAAAAGTTTTTGAGTGACTCACAATTTTTTTTTTATCTTCTTCATCACTTTCAGTCGCACATTTTTAATTTTCTTAAACTTTGTGTTAAATCAAATTGGAAGTTTTTTTGGATGAATGAAGTACTAATAAGTATGAACCACATCCCTCGGGCCCTCTCGAACCCAGTTAGATGGTCACTGAGAGGTGGTTAATAAGCTTTGATCGCAGATTATTGGAAAAAGTAAAATTTGCACTTCATAAGTTGATATTTGCAGAAGCTCTATTCTTTGATCTCAAACTTGGTCTTTTATTTATATAGTGCTACTCTTTTGATGCTTTATCTTCCAATTTCTATCCAACTATTCTTCAGTCTCTAGTGTATAGTAGCACTTTAAGAATCATAGAATATAATCATACTTTGTATTAGGTACTCTCTCTATTCGGAAATGATCTTTTAAATGATTTTTCTTAGTTAAAATTTTTAAACCTTGACTTCAATGTATGAAAAAATACATTATGTTTTTTTAATCAAAAAAATACATTATGAACTAGGCATGTATTCAGAGTTTCCCTAGGGTTGGTAAGGCAAAATGGGGCCACCCTAGCCCATTGAGTACTCGACCTCGGGCCATCGAGTCTAGAAATGCTCAAATTTTCCTTCTCTCTTTGCCTCACTTTTTTGGAGCTTGAAGACGCTCGAAGTTTTTCCCTATAGATACAATATTCGTATCATACATGCGCTAAAATTTGTTGGTTGTGAGGGCTTCTTGCGGTGCTTGTGTTATTGTCATTAAGCCTCCACATTTGTTTTGTGATAAATCTGCTCTTTTCATCACCAAAAATAAGTTCTTCATTAACATATGAAGCATATTGACATTGATTGTCATATTGTTTGTGAATGTGTTCAGCGCTGCAAAGTTTCCACTGCTTATATTTCTGCATGACTTCAATTTGCGTATAGTACGTACCCGTCCACTAAAGCTCTGTCTAAGCCTAGCTATAATTGACTCTTTATTGTCCAAGTTGGACAATCGTGATCTTCATGTGCCAACATGAGTGAAAGTATTAGCGGATATTATTCTTTATAAAAGGGCTTACACTTAGTCTAGGGCTTGTAATTAGATTTTCATGTACACATGTATATATATTTGGTGCTTGTCAATTCAGTTTGTGATAATTTCTACAAGAAGATTCCGTTACATTTTTAAACGTAAAGTAGATACATATATATATACATCACGGTTTGTATTGAGACCGATGTTGTAACCAAATCATCTCAAGCCATTCCATGCCAAAATTTTGGAATCGTAATCAGTACGACATAAAATCTCAAACCATGTTAAAATATTCAATACGATACCGATACGAATCAAATCTCGTCTCATACCGTATCATGCTCCGCCCTAGAGAGGTGGGGATTTGGAGAATGGAGATGGCCAAAAAGGGCATAGACATTGGAGGGAGTGAGAGTACATAAATGAAAAACCCACTTCATATGATCTATCTGACAAGTTCCACATGCCCCCATGTAGAAAAAAAGAGAAGAGGAAATAATGATAGAGATACATACACACATACCCTTAATTGGCTTCCACAGAAGTAAAGTGTCCCACAAGTCCACCCCCACATTGCTTTGTCCTAACCATAAAATGCAATTCAATTACCCACTGCACGATATATTCTCAGTGTGCATGTGGCCCACCCCACCCCCCACCCCC